TCTTGTTTGATATATCAGAGTTCTGTGTGCCTCGAACTGAAGGCTGCCTTTTGCTGTGGCCCTCAGGTTTCTTTGGCAACACCAACAGCACGAAAAAACATAAAATGTGCATATGGAAGTAAAGTGACCTGCAGGTGACAAAAACAGAAGCAGCAAAAATAATATGAATTCCTAGGAGTATAAATAATCAGAGTCATGTTACAATCCTCAACAAATTAAGCAGCATTTGCAGAATTGCATCAGTAGCTATAATGGTTTATAGTCTACAGAATACAAAAGTAGTGTAGAGCTTGTGGAGCAGGACTTTCCTGGCTCCCCCTTCTGTTGCATCATTCCTCCAAAAATCCATAAATTTTGTTCCTGGGACATCACAGAACCTTTGTGAACAACTGGAGAAGAATATAAAGTAGGAGAAGAGTTGGATTTATACCCCGCCCTTCACTCAGAGTCTCAGAGCGGCTTACAATCTCCTTCCCCTCCCCACAACAGACACCCTGAGAGGTAGGTGGGGCTGAGATAGCCTTGAGAGAACAGCTCAGAGAGAACTGTGACTGGCCCAAGGTCACCCAGCTGGCTGCATATGGAGAAGTGGGGAATCAAACCCAGTTCTACAGATCAGAGTCCGCCGCTCTTAACCACTACACCAAAGTAAAGTAGAGATCTGCAGGGAAGGGAAGGAAAAAATGGTGGAAATTGCATCCTGTCTTAGATGGAAATAGCCTTCCACTGTTGGAAAAAATACAAGGCACTATGCTGCAATTCAACAGGCATATTATGAAAAAATAGAACTGCCCATCCTACCTTCTTAAGCAGTAGTCATGATGAGTCTCTATAAACAGTATCCAGATCTACTTGGCAGGCATTACCTTACATGTTTAGTTTTGAGCAGAACATTGATGGGCTTCCACCTTCAGTTTTCATCCCTGCTAGACCCGTATTACCTCCCCCAATCCAAGATACAGAGAGGGCTACATTTCTTAGGGGAGTCCTCACTTCTCCTTCACCCCATCACACCCTCAGCTTGTTTCACTCCAAGATCCTTATCCTTTACCACAATTCCTTCCAGGGGAAAGATACAAAAATATGGACAAGTGTATATTAAAATTGTCCAGTGCAGTGCATGTCACAACTTTGAACTAAACCAATGCATCAGTTCATCTTACCTTGTCCATTCCCACATGAAAAACATACATGGATATCATTTGCTGCAAAACGTCTTTAATATGCTAGGAATACCCAAAGCATGGGAAGGACTGGGATAGTTCTTCCATGTACCCTAAAAGTACGTAAATATAATATCGCCTGTGTGCATTTGATTCATGTATTTGGTTAAGTAGTCAATGTGATCAAAAGTGCCTCTTTATTGCAACATGAAGTTCTGCAACGTTTCCCAAGCAAGCAACTCATGTGCAAAGTTCCTAAAGGGGATGAAGGTGATTCACCTTAGTATAAAAGATGTAATTTTTATGCTGAAGACAGGATAGCAGGGTGGCTTCAGGAGGTCACAAGAGTATTATGAACCGACCGATGACACGCATCAATAGGCAAAATCTCCTGGGAAAAGCAAGCATTTTGCTCAGTGGTTTGTAGAGTAGTTAAGTGTGTGGTTATATTGCTTCTTGTGTGACATGCAGATGACAAACATGACTCCAATAAATTCAAATAAATTGCACGTGGAGTAAATCACATTAAAATTGAGGTGCTGGATCCTAATGCTCCTCCAGTAGTGCAAGAAGGATGATCCAACCCAATTTCCCTTCTCTCTGCAGCCCTGTCCAATGTGGCTTTTTGTCCATGAAGGTACCACGATCCCCCCAGCTATGCCTTTTGGGAGATCAAAAGAGGTCACCAGAATAGCTGGTAGGATCCAAACCTTCAACATTTTACCTCATCCTTCCTTTAAAGACATCTGGGTTGCATACAAAGGGTTCTCTCTCCCAATACATCCTCATACCAACCTTATAAAACAAGTTAGGCTAAAACAGAGGTAGGCACACGGTTGGCACATGGGCTCAGTAGCAGCACAGCAACCATTTTGCTCACTGTGCAGGTCTGGTTTTCTACCCACACCAGTGAAGCAAGCCTCTGAAGTGTTGGTAGTGACATTAGGACAGCACAGCAGCATGGGAGAAGGCAACAGGCATGTTCTTCACAGCCTCCCAGACCTGCATAGCTACCAGCCAGGTCCAAGGCAAGACTCTCCAGGTACTGGCAATAACAGTGGGGCTTGGCTTTTTCTCAGTGTGCTTGGCCAGCTACAACACGCCCCCCCCCAATACACACATTCACCTCTGGATTGCCAGTGCATCAACATCTTCATAGGTAGACACGGTAGCTTTAGGGGGCAAAGAGGCCCAAAAGATGGTCTGTCCTTGCAGTGACTGGCCCAAAGAAAATCCAGTGGGCTTCCTGGATGAGGAGAGGTTTGACCCAGGTCAAAACCTAGGCATTACACCATACTATCATAGCCAAATACATACCCCTGTTGAGTATCCTCTTCAAAATATTTCGTTCAGCTTTGGTCACAGGCTGGCATGCCTAACGAGACCTGTTATAATTTTTTAACCTTATATATGTAACAGGAGGGAGCATACCTGTATAATTTAATGGTGGGCTCAACGGCGAGCAGGACAAATGGGGCCACGGTATAACAGACAGACAGCTGAGTTATCAACCAAGTAGCAACATCATAGCTCGTCTTCAGAGTCTTTGAAGACGTGAAGAAATGCCGGAAATTGTTCCTGATCTTTAAGAAAAATGAAAATATTAGACATTAATCTTCATATGGGAGCGGTGGCACAGTGGGTATATCCCACTGTCTTAACATCTGAACTGTGTTAGTTCGAGCCCCGCGCTGGTGTGAGCAGCCAGCCTGTTGTCCCCAGCTCATCGTCCACCCAGTGATTCGAAAGCTTCGGCGAGTAGATAAAATGGGAACCACTCCTTAGAGAGGGTGGGCACACCAATCTCCCTTGTGGGAGGGTGTTAGCTGACGATCGGACGTTCTGGTCGAGGTTCGGAAAAGGCGAAAAAAACTTCTCGGCTACAAAGAATCCCTGCAGTGGATGTTCTAGCCAGGCGGTGGCAGTGTAGCGATTGACATACGGGTCCTGAAGCCTGGTCAACAAGCAACCATGTGGAAAACTACGGGGCCAAGCCAGAAGACGTCTACACTGGGCAGTGACGGAGTGTGCAATTAAATGAATATATGTTGTCTTCCCTATCCTCTACAAACATTGTTAGTCCCTTGTCTATATTGAGTAACTGTACATCGCTTTGAGCCCACTGGGGAAAGCGATTAATAAATGGAAAGTATTATTATTATTATATGTAACTGTGCCCCTCGCAGACATTCTCACTGTCCCAGGGGAAAGGGGGTGGAGCCTCTAGGGACTGAGGGAGCCTGTTTTGAACACTTGCAGTCCTGGCTGAGGAGGTCTTGAGGCTGCTCCTTGCCCCTAGGCAACCAGCGCGAGAGAGAATCAGAAGGGCAGAGAGAACCGAGTTATTGAAAAGTTAATGTTATTAGAAGAAAGTTAATGATAAGAAAACAATAGTGAAGGAAATGTTACTGGTAGTTTATGATTAAAGGAATAAGGGGAAAATAGAGAAAAATTTAAGAAATGGGCTGGAGGTTGGAGCACTGTGGGAAGCCAAGGGGGGGGGGATTAGTAGAAGTAAGGATGTATAACAACTAAAATTATAATGTGTATTTGACTTAATAATATATCCTAATAAATTGTTTTTGGAAAGAAAAATAAAGAAGGGCAGAGAGAACCGGAAGGGCAAAGAGGAAGCATTTCAACATGAGGGGAAGGACCCATTTGAGGCTGAACCCCTTTCCCTCTTTTCAGCTGCGGAACAGGAGGAGGCTCTGGCAGGTGCACCAGGCCCCTCCTTTCTTGGTCCCAGCATTAGGCCACACTTCTTGGGCCACCCTTCCCTGTGACAGGCAGGCATCTTTCATCCTCCTCACAGATGTAAAGGACAGCTGCTGGAATTATACATGTGGATCAATACATGAATAATGTGCCCTCTTCTCCAATTAGTTGAAGAGTATCTTGTGGCCTTGATTCAACAGGAATCTAAGGTGTGGGTCATAAGACTGCATAGCTACACGTTTCACACGTTTTCACACACGCATCAGAAATGTTGTGTAGAATTCATTCTGACTGCAATATGGGAATTTAACAGAACTTGGAACATTTTGTCAAGAGATAAGAGTTGTAGAAACCAAGGGATCTGGCAGGGCAGGGGGGTGACCAAGAGGCAAGGGAAGTGGAACTATCTGAGCCATTGCAATCCCTGCTCCAAGGCCACTAAAATCCTCTTTTTCTAGTTTATGAAAGTTCTGAAGGCCCTATCTTCCCATTTCAAACATTTATTTGTGGAAATAAGTATGAAATGGCAAATTTGGGGAGGTGAGGGTTACAAGGTTTCCAGAAAGCTAATTTTCATACCACAGACAATTCCAGGCTCATAAATGATAATTTATATAACGTTTTAACAAGGAACAGTTTGTCCCCTAAATAGCAGGTTAATGTGTGGAAACAGGTGATCAAAGTTTTTCATAGCATAGAAATAAATAATTTTGCATGCTAAATAACATACCAATAAACCTTTATGAAAGTGACAGGACATTTCTTTTTCTCCAGGCAGTTGACAAACCTATGTGAGGCTCTGATATGCACTTGGAAATCTCTCACTCAGCAGAGATTCTCTATTCATTTTAATGGAAAGGGCAGTTCTGGGTAAACATTTCTCTGCATTCCAGTCACTGAAATGCATAAAGAAGCTTTCATGCATAAGAGCATGGCAGGCACATCTTGGCAACTGCGAGGTTTCAAATAGAGGCTATTTGGTACAATCTGGAAAAAAACTTAGTGTGTGATAGCCAACATTTTCTGTTGATGAAAAAGGGAGGAGGAGGGTCCCTTCTGAATCATGAGGAATGGAGATTGTAATAAGGGTTGGAGTAAGACCCAGCACGTGGCAGCAAGAAGAAAGGCCAGTTAGATAGAATAGTGAGGTCAGCACCTTGTTTCCTGATAAGCGTCATTCCTTGACTTTCTCCAGATTGCTATTTTTAGGGCAATATTCTTCTTGGAAATTTCACAATTCTCCATCTTTCATTCTTAGCTAGTGTTCAGCTAGAAACCTGTCTCTATCTCTGCTCTTTATTATCAAGTATGTTAATTCCTGAATAAAGCTTTCTCTACACTTGTTTCTTTACACTTACAGAGAAATCAGCCAGTATCATAATGCCCCTGTATAAATCAATGGTGCGACCTCATTTGGAGTACTGTACAGTTCTGGTCAGCACACCTCAAAAAGGATATTATAGCATTGGGAAAAGTGCAGAAAAGGGCAACTAGAATGATAAAAGGGTTGGAACACTTTCCCTATGATGCAAGGTTAAAACGCTTGGGGCTCTTTAGCTTGGAGAAACGATGGCTGAGGGGTGATATGATCAAGGTTTATAAGATGGTGCATGGGATAGAGCAGGTAGAGAAAGAGGTACTTTTCTCCCTTTCTCACAATACAAGAACTCATGGGCATTCAATTAAATTGCTGAGCAGTCGGGTTAGAACAGATAAAAGGAAGTACTTCTTCACCCAAAGAGTGATTAACACATGAAATTCACTGCCACAGGAGGTGGCGGCGGCTACAAGCATGGACTGCTTCAAGAGGTAATTAGATAAGCATATGGAGCAGAGGTCTATTAGTGGCTATTAGCCACAAGGTATACATAGGAACTCACAGGCTGGGGCAAGTGATGCTCTGTTTTCTTGGTGCTTGGGGGGGGGCAACAGTGGGAGGGCTTCTACTGTCCTGGCCCCACTGCTGGACCTCCTGATGGCACCTGGTATTTTTGGCCACTGTGTGACAGAGTGTTGGACTAGATGAGCCATTGGCCTGATCCAGCATTGGCTTCTCTTATGTTCTTATGTTTGTGCACCCCCGTTGCGTCAATCACTCAGCCAACAATAAGGAGAGGAACTGGCCGAGTGAAAAAAGCTGTCCAGATCCATCTGAGCTGCAATCAAGTGCTACTCCCAATGACTTTAGCAGGCTACATCTGAGTCACATCCAGAGGGGGGAAAATAAGATACACACCATTCTGGCTGCTAGTGTCATAAAGATTCCAGTGATAAATGTAAAATAATATCCAGGGTAAATGCCATGCCAAACAGCTGAGAGAAGAAACGTTAGAGCTGTAGGGTACCAAGGAGCTCTGTCATAGCACACGCTGGGAAGGAAAAAGAAACATACAAAAATTAGAATAATTGGAAGCTTAAATCAAGGAATAGATGAACAGCATCCTCAGGTGTATTTAAACCCACAACATATTCCTAACTCTATCTTTAGTGTTATGTGTAAGCCTGGAAGCAAGCCAGATTCATGAATGTGGTGGTTCAACATCAGTCTGATTGCAGCCTTACCATATACTACAAAGACAAGCCGTGGCTGGTTGGCTTAGACTGAGCCGGCTGAAGCTAAATCCAGTGAAGACGGAGGTCTTGTGCCTGAGTTGGAGTGGCCAGGGGATGGGGCTCCCTCTCCCGACCTTCGATGGGGTGCCATTGGTGCCTGCGTCGGAGGTTAGGAGTTTGGGTGTGCTCCTGGATCCCTCCTTAACTAACCCTATGGCAGCCACTGCCAGGTCGGCCTTTTACCATCTTCGGCTGATTCGGCAGTTGGTCCCCTATCTCGACCGCGACAACCTGGCTACAGTGATCCATGTGACGGTCACCTCAAGATTAGACTACTGTAACACTCTCTACATGGGGCTGCCTTTGTCGCAAATTCGGAAGCTGCAGCTAGTGCAGAATGCTGCGGCCAGGCTTCTGATGGGTCTCCCTAGATGGGAGCACATCCGACCTGTGCTGAAAGCGCTGCACTGGCTGCCTATAGCTTTCTGAGTAAGCATCAAAGTGCTGGTACTTACCTTTAAAGCCCTATATGGCCAGGGTCTGACATACCTGAGGGACTGCCTTTCCCCATTGATACCTCAGAGAGCACTACGGTCGGGGGCTCAACATCGACTGGTGATTCCAGGCCCCAGGGAGGCCAGGCTTGTGGCAACCAGGGCCAGGGTCTTTTCAGTGGTGGCTCCTACCTGGTGGAATGAGCTCCCAGAGGAGATCAGGGCCCTGCGGGACCTTTCACAGTTCCGCAGGGCCTGCATGGCGAATCTCTTCTGCCAGGCTTTTAATTAGGAGCCACCGCCACCACCAACTGCCTCATGGGAACATGGGGCACTGGGATGGCCCATTTAAGATCAATGGCCCACTATAAAATTGAGTTACAGTATTCTGATGGAGCGGTACTGCTGATTCGGGCTTGAGTAACATCTACTGATCACCATCTTGACGACTTATTTGACTAAATGATTAATATTAACATCACTGAGCACTTTAATTTTGATAAAATGGTTGTTTTTATGCGTTTTAATGTTTTATACTTGGCACATGGTGCCCTCGTTTGTTAGCCTGTTCGTGGGGAGGGCGGGATAAAAATATAATAAATAAATAAATAAATAAATCTTGTTCTCCATATTTCTACTAATTATTTTGCTGATGTTCCCAGCCTGCATGTTGACTTTTAAATAATATAATATCTTTATACAAATTATATTGTAATATATGATTTAAATATCTGCATGTCTTTTATATAGTTTTATGTTTGATATTTTTGTAAATTGCATTGCCACTTCTTCTGGACTCCATGATTTTATACTGTAATCCTAAACAGAGTTTAACCATTGACGTTAATGGGCTCAGAAAGGTGTATCTCTGCTTAGGAACACACTGTTAATAATCAAATAAATTTCTAAAGTATAATTGTTAAACTAGTATCATATTTATGAGTGTGTATAGAGCCACTGCGATGGCTCAGTGGTTAAGATGCTGAACTGCAGGCCAGAAGGTCGGTAGTTCAGCAGTTCGAGACCCGAGTGCCGCATGACGGAGTGAGCTCCCGTCTCTAGTGCCAGCTCCTGCCAACCTAGCAGTTTGAAAGCAAGAAGCTGCAAGTAGATAAATAGGTACCACTTTGGTGCGAAGGTAACAGCGTTCCTTGCGCCTCGGCGTCTAGTCATGCCGGCCACATGACCACGGAAACGTTTTCAGACAGCATTGGCTCTTCAGCTTGGAAATGGAGATGAGCACTGCAGCCCTAGAGTCGGATTTGGCTGGCTTTCATGCAAGGGAAACCTTTACCTTTACTTATAGTAAATGGAGGACTACCAAAGTCTAAGAGCACTAAACTACATTATTCTTACCGTTTAAGCCAGGCAGTGGTCTGTATATTCCAGTTTCCTACATACATTTTAAAACTTGTTGCCGTCTAGGAAAGAGAAAATTCCCATGCGTTATTACCTCGCACACATATTAAACAACGTCTACTCCTATCCAGTTTTAAATTATATTACTTCATTATTAACGATCCAGAGATCAAATAACATTGTAACAACAAAGTCTGCATCTAGTACCCACTGAGTATAGGTGTAAACATTAAAGAAAATTAAAATTTAAAAACCAACATTATACTGTTTTTGAATGCCATGTTGTAGTTATAGGGTTATATATGGCAGGAGACTGTATTTTCCCACTACCCTACACCTCTGAGATCAGCAATTCAGCTCTTAAGAAACCACACTTGGTATTCATTTTAGAAATAACAGTAAGTGGGGTTTGCATATGAAAACATATAGGAAGAATATGTAGTTGGAGAGATTTCCTGCTTAAACAATGGCTGGATTTATTGATTTCCAAACCAGAACATTTTAAATCCTGGTGGGTATATATGAGCTTACTTGAGGTAGACAGCAATACATTAATAAGGTGTGTGTGCAATAAAACACTCTAATCTGAAATCTTAAAATTTGCTGTTCTTCAAAATTAAGCAAAGGTTAAGATATGGGTCTGAACCGATATTAAAAACCTCCCTACTAGTGGTATCTGTCCTTGAAAATGAAGTGTATAAAATAATGTACAATGTTTCCCTCACATGTGTATTTGTGTAACAAGTCCCCCCCCCCATTATAGGTAGTAATGCCCATGATCTAGCCCCCTTTCCATAATCTTTTATTTTGACTTACCTCAATATTCCAGATATTTAGATTAGACAATAGGTCCCAGTGGAAACAGCCTCTTTCATCAACACCACTGAACCCATAGCCAGCTGCATTGTTGATCACATCAGCTGTAATATCAAAAACAATAAAATCAGAAATCACAACATGTTAGCCGGAGATCCAAAATACTACTTACAGATGGCCAAGGTTTTGGGTTGTGCCCCGTGGGACCTCTGACCCTCCCCACTGGAACAACATTAAACACTGATTTGGAAACTCCTCTTGGTTTCCAGACTTTATTTTATGATATTGTGAACTGTTCTTTGAGAAACACAAGTTAAAAGCCCTCAGGAACATGTGAAACAAATGGTGCAGTTCTTCGGATTGAGGTCCTAATATATACAAAGCAAGTTCTATCCTGGAGAATTTCAAAGAGAATACTGCACAAATGTAACATCAATGTTAATCCTAATGCTAAATATAACAAAGTTAGTGGTTCAGAAGAAACATAGTGGCATTTCATTTAGAAATGTAGGCTAATCAGTCTGGGGCAGTGGAGTAGATAAATTTGAGTTTGAAGTTCCAAAAGAACTATTTTTTTAATGATTCATCCCTGGATTGGATATAACAATAGATCCAAAGATGGAATTCTGCTATAGCATTTCTAGTTTTGAAGACTCACACTCAACAGTCCTGTTACTAGAGATTTAAGATCAGTATAACTACTGTGTTACAGAGCCTGTGTCAGCAGAGCACTTTGAAGACCTGCCTGTTGGTCTCATTTCCAGTAAAAAAATTCCAGGGCAGAAGGAATTTCCAGCGTTTCTCTTCATGAGTTTGACTCTCACACAAAAGTTGTGTCTGTCCTTTTAGACAAGCAAGAATTGCTTAGCAACAGTATTAATCTGATCAACAGAATGCTCTGTGTCCTTAGATGAAAGTTGTCGAGAGAAGGAAGAGGGAATTAATGATATTTTGGACCTTAGTGGGAAGAACAATGGAAGGCCTTGCCCACTGCTTTACATGGTTTCCCCCCAAAATCCCAGTGTCTTTCAAATCAGAATGCTGCCTATGACTCAGTTTTGCTATATACCCAATTCTACATTCTTCACAAAGTGTTTTGGTCCCAGTTCAAACAACTGCTTGGCATTGTAGTGTACTGGTTAAAGTGGAGAATAATGTAGGCTGTTCTGGGTTCCCACTAGGGAGAACTGGAGCATATACATGAAATAAATTAATAAAATTAATTCCCAAGTTATGCTAATAGCAAATAGGAGTAATAGAAAGGTAGGTAGAAAGGGTATCAGGCCCCTTTTCTCATTCATAGATATGCTTTTTAAAATTCAGCTGAACTCCATTCAGAAATAACTCTGCCTGGCACATTCAGAGACCATCACCACTGCTGTAATGCTTAAGGTTGCCAGCTCCAGGTTGGTAAATACCTGGAGATTTGGGGGGGGGTGGAAACGGAAGAGGAGGGGCTTCAATGGGGCATAATGCCATAGAGTCCATCTTCCAAAATTGCAATTTTCTCCAGGTGAATTGATCTCTGTTACCTGGAGATCAGTCATGATAGTGGGAGTTCTCTAGCCACCAGCTCGAAGGGTTACCACCCCTAGTAATGTTGGTTCTGAGCAAGGCAGACTTGGGTCCCTGATATCTATCTTGCCTTATTTCCAGCACTGAATGATAGAAAGGGATGGATATGCTGAATCTCAAAACCTTGTTCTGGATGTAGCAAGGTGGAAGCTGACTCAAGGTCCTTTCTCTGCATGAAAGACCTCTATCCAGCTGTGGATACTCACTCATGTGCTGTGTATGTTAGAGAATGAATTTGATATTTTGCTTTATGGACTATATTTATTGCTACACACAATGGACTGTGCACACACACACACAGGCTCAGAAGACTGTACACTTTAAGTCACCTGTTGTGATGTAACACATAGAAGGTACCTGCACAAGCCTTACACGTAAAGGTTTCAGTTACACAGTTACCAGCCTGGTGAAGAAGCACACACCTCCATTATTGTGAGCAGTAAGAAACAACAACTTGAGAAGAGACAGCCCCCATTGCAGAAATAGTTGTAGTCATGTACTACCCATCACTGCTTTGTTCCTGCATTGGTATTTCGTGCCAAATGGACATTTGGTTCACAATGAGAACGGCCAGCTTCATCAACACTACAATGGAGCATCCTGACGCCAAGGTTTTCACACCTGCCCAGATGCCCTTCTTTGAGTAAGGTATTAGATTACAATATTGGCCACTCCTTATAGGTAACCTCCCACTCCTATAGGCAACCATTTTTAGGATGGACTAACAGATAGGTGGGTCCACAAGGTTAGAACAGTTACCACCCACCTAATGGACCCCCTATAAAAGGTAAGGACCATTCACCTGGCCCTTCCTAGCTAGCAACCCCCGCAACAACCCCTGTCTGCTTTTTACTCCTCTTGAGTCCCACTTGCTATCCCCAAACCCTTGCCTCTACTTTGATCTCTTGATCTGCAGTCAAGAGACCCACACGTTCTGGCTGGTTCCGGTTGTGTGTGAAATCCCTTTAGTTTCCATTTCTTCCCATCCATTCTTCATTGGAACAACCGGAACTGCAAGACAGATAAGTATTGGCCACCATCACCCTACCTGCTAATGCAACTGTGCTTATTTTAATATTGTATTTCTAAGGAACTTGATTGAATGTGTGAGTGCATCAGTATTGTTTGTATGAGATTTATATTCTTAAGTAAAAGACATTTATTTTAACAACAATAGCCTCGTTGTCCTTCTCTGGTAACCCTTGGTGGGAACAGGACCTTGGTATAGTTGGCAAGGACCCATTTATAAATTGCCAATTGCTGTAAATAAAGCAATTCAGCTAACATGTACCCTACTGAAGAACTGCTGTGATTCATTTTCTCCTTACTAATAGAAATCTCTGGCGAGGTGTGCATATTTGGACTGTGGAGTGAAGAACTAGAGTTGGTCCTTCAGTTTGGTCTGGATTATCACTTCCAGTTTTATGACTTGCACTTGGCATGGTGCTATATGAAAACACAAACACTGCACTAGCTAGAGAATGTAAGAGTTCCTAAATAACATTAATACAATGGACTTGGTGCCCACGCATCTGAACACTAAAGGCTCATTGATTTCAGTTGCACACAGACAAGCTAACAGTTGTGGGGGCTCCTCCTACTCTCCCAGCCTTGTTCTGATCAAAGACATCACAGTGTTTGAATTGTCCTTTATACTCTCAGCAATAAATGTTGCAATGTACCAAACAGGTTGTTCCATGAGTTTTTAAATATACTTTAAGACATTTAGTTTTCTACTGATTGCAATACAAAAAGAACTGTTGTGTCAACCTTACCGAGGGTCCACGCGAAGTAGTATTTTGGCTTTGAAGCCTGCATAACAACATACAAGTAGCCAAGTCTTGTCAAAAAAGAAGGCTTATCGATAAACTGGCTATCAACAATGTACGCAACGGGAAAGCTCTTGGTAAATGTCAGGAACAAAAGCAGTGATACAAGGGCAATGCAGAGCTTGTGCAGAACAGCTCCCTGTAAAGTACACACAGAACATTGAAGCAATCATTCTTGAAAGAAGGCCAAAAGACAAAATGTTTCCTCCAAATAAAAGACCCATTTCTAATTTCCTAGTGAATGCAGCAATCTCATTGTCTGCATTAGCTACTTTGGAAGGAGAATTTGGTGGTATGGTAAACAATACTGTCTTTTCAGGTGGGTAGCCGTGTTGCTCTTAAGCAACAGAACAAAGTTTTAGTCCAGTGGCACCTTTAAGACCAAGAAAGTTTAATTCAAAGTGTAAACTTTCATGTACATGCACACTTCTTCAGATACATTGAAGAAAGGGGAGGGGGGGTTAGTTGCCAGGAAGGGCTAGTTAGAGTCAAGATGTATAAGCAACTGGCCAATAAGAATGCTGAGTCACCCAGTTCTCGATTATACCCAGAATTAGACTTTGTTGGTCTTAAAAATGTCACTGGACTCAAACATAGTTCTCACACCTGTTTGTTAACTCTTTTATTTGTGTGCTAATTTGCTGCTATCCACAGGTCTTACCAAGTGCTTTAATCTAATCTTAGCTATACTTATCGCCCAGTTACTTATGCATCTTAACTCTAACTAGCTCTTCCTGGCAACTAACCCTCCCCCCACCCTCTCTCTACCTATGAGGAAGTCGGTTTCAATGTATCTGAAGAAATGTGCTTATACCCAGAATTAAACTTTGTTGGTTTTAAAGGTCCCACTGGATTAAAACTTTGTTCTAATATTGTCTTTTGTACAGTTTGCTTCAACATAGTTTATTATTTTATTTACTGTCTTTATAGTCCACCTTTGTCTCTGAGACTCATAACTGAGTAATCTTCCTTAAGAACAACACTAAAAGACTGGCATAATGCATTCAATGAACAATGCAGTAGGACCACATTACACAACTGAAGAACAATGAAATGAAAAACAGGATAATACATACAACAGCCTGGATTTCACCAGTTACAGTATCCAATGAACTAGATTAACGGTGCAATCCTAAACATAGATACACCTTCTAAGTCAATTGAAGTCAAGTTAATAGTGCAATCTTATACTCTTCTGTCCCTGTTGCAATGCCAGCTTTGGGTCCCAAAAGTTAACGCAGAGTAGAGAGAAACTATAAGGGCTGGGATTATTCAAATACTGGAAGCTGCACTGAGTCTATAGGACGGGAGAGAGTGTAACAGCATCTGAAGTAAGTACTTGCCATTTTATAGCTTACCATTGGAGAAGGCTCAGGAAGTTTATCATTCCCATTTGGCTTCCAGTTGACTTCCAAAAGCTTCATCTGCACATGTCGCCCTTCAATGAAAGCTATGTAGTCCTTGTAATTGCTGCATGGCCCCACCAGGATACTCATAAAGTTGAGCAGATAGCTCAAATACTCCAGCAAAGAAGGTCTTATTCTGTCAAAGTGCACAAATAAATAAGGTCAAAAACAATTTAAAAAGCAAAATGTCCCAAATGTTCAGGTACCAAATATTATTAGTTGATAGTTTAATACTTTTGTTGCAATCTCCATTAGGGGTATGCAAAAATACCTGGTATTTTTCATGTTTGGTATATTGAACCCGAAAAATATCAGTATTTCCCGATATCCATGAAATGCACACCACTAATCTCCATTTGTGTTTTATCTGTCCAGTTAAATATCTATGAAAAAGCAATTTCTACTTACCTCATAAATAATTACAGTCTTAGTCTAGCAGGTTTCCAAATAAGATACCTTTAGGGAGCAAATAGCTTACATGCTACCAACCTTTAGCCAAAACTTATATCCCCTTTTTATTTGGTTGTGGGTAGCTGGGCTTTAAAGAATCCATAGGAGAGGTCAGTGTGGGAGACTGGATATTCTTCATTCCAGAAGGCGGTTGCCTCAGAGTCTCACCCCACCCCCATAACTGCCACAACTTCCTTATGCATCTGAGATGCATAGGGTGGCTAATGCTGTACCTCTAGTAACATCTAGTTCACATATTTATTCCCCAATACAAAAAATAAGAAACAGGGGTTAAAAATGGGTCTCAAAAACCTCTCCAAGTAATAAATCTGGAGAAAGATGAGCCTCATGAATCATCTTTCATGCAAAGGAAGACAACAACCTAATGAGCATGCGCACACTTTTTCAAGATCAGTGCCCATCCAAGATATTTACTTATAATCATAAATGTGAAGAATACTGAATGTTTTGATATTCATTTCCTCCACATGAAACAGATGAACCAACCCACCCACCCCCAATCCTGACTGCATTGACTTGGAAGTTAACCTGCACACACATGCGCATATACACATATAATGTAATGGCACCAGAAGATCTTCCGAAATTAGATATCAGTTCTTATTCATGACTTGGTAGTCCTCTCCAGTGTCAAAAACCAGGAGTCAGGAGTATTGAGGTATGTGGCATTTGTGTGGTAAGAAGGGGGAGAAAGGAAGCACGAGGAAGGCACAAAGTGTTTAAGTAGCTGACATTCACATATTTGCACGTATATCACAGGAAAGTTTGTGAAAACAAATAATAAAAAAGAGATGTTCTTTACTGTATATATGTCAGAGGGAAGCAAAGAGCCCATTAATCGGGAACACAAAATGAATGCATCCCAAAATTAGAATATGAACTCCACACAGCTGACATAAATAACAGTATTTCTTAGAAAATATTAAATTATTAGGAGAATTACTTCCTTACTTCACAGCCAGCTGATTTTGCTCACTTGATAAGTCTTCCACTTTCCGGCCTATTCCTAGGAAAGAAAGAGAAAAAGAGAGAGAGAGAGAGAGAGATGAGATGAGATTCACACTGAACAATGAAAACACAAACAAATACAATTATGCCAGTACACTAATTAATGCAGTATCTTTCACCACTACAAGATCCAAGTTTTCCCCTGCCCCATTATCCTGCCTTCTTTTCATAATCAGAGAGCCAGTGTGATAAAAGAGTGTTAGATTGGGTTCTGGGGGACCCAAATTCAAATACCCACTCTGCCACGAAGGCTTACTGAGTAACCTGAGTCATACATCCTCAAACTGATTTCCCACAAGCTGCTGCTCTGCACTTGCTCTTCCCTTTGCCCTGATCGTACGTGTCAATTTCATACTATGTGCTGTGCCCCCTTGCCCAGAGGCATGGGCTGGGATATCACAAATATGCGGATGACACCCAGCTCTATCTGATCTTGGGCGGTCAGTCTGACTTTACCCCGGAAGACCTGGACCGGGCGTTACAGGACGTGGCTCAATGGCTTAGACTGAGTCGATTGAAATTGAATCCGACAAAGACGGAGGTCCTGTGCCTGAGTCGGAGCGGTACGGGAGTAAGGATCCCACTCCTGGCCTTTGATGGGGCACCGTTGGTGCCAGCGCCGAGGGTCAGGAGCTTGGGAGTGCTCCTGGATGCTTCCTTAACAATGGAGGCCCAGGTAGCAGCCGCTGCCAAGGCAGCCTTCTACCACCTTTGGCTGATTAGGCAGTTGGTTCCTTTCCTCAAACACAATGATCTGGCTGCAGTGATCCATGCAATGGACACCTCGAGGTTGGACTACTGCAATGCTCTCTACATGGGGCTGCCCTTGGGGCAATTCCGGAAGCTGCAGCTGGTGCAAAATGCAGCAGCCAGGCTGTTGATGGGTCTCCCCAGGTGGGAGCACATCCAGCCTGTGCTAAAGACATTACACTGGCTGCCAATAGCATACCAGATTCGCTTCAAGGTGCTGGTTTTGACCTTTAAAGCCCTTTATGGTCAGGGACCAGCCTACCTGAGGGACCGCCTTTCCTCACATGTTCCCCAGAGAGCACTGCGATCAGGATCTCAAAACCGCCTGGCCCTCCCTGGTCTGAAGGCTGCAAGGTTGACATCAACAAGGACCAGGGCATTTTCTCTGGCAACTCTATCCTATTGGAATCAGCTCCCCAGCGAGATCAGGGCCCTGCGGGAGCTTCCACAGTTCCATGAAAATGGAGCTTTTTAGGCAGGCATTCCGATAGGAGCGGCACCTTACCAGCCTCCAATTACTTTACTGTTTTGTATCGCCATCGATCTTAATGCTTTTAACTGATGTATCTGTAATTTTATAAGATGTATATTGTTTTATTAGTTTTATGGGAGCCGCCCTGAGCCTGCCTTTGGTCAAATAAATGAATAAATAAATAAATAAATAAATTTTGCGCCGCAGCATCGTCCGATTTCTCCCGCATCTACTCAGTCCTCAAAAAACAGGATTGAGTAGATGCGGGGGAAATCAGGCGAAGCTGCGGGGCAAAATGCGGCCACACAGCACATAGTGTGAAATTGACACGTACAATCGGGGCAAAGGGAAGAGCAAGTGCGGAGCAACAGCTCGTGGGAAATCAGTCTCAGTCTAACCTACTCACAGAGCTACTAAGAGAATAAAATGGAAGAGAGGATAACAATATAAACCACTTTGGGTCTCCATTAAGGAGAACTGTGGGGTATGAAGTAAATAAATATTCATTTCACTAAACTTTATGACTTTGCAGTAAGCATTAGGGAGCCCCGACTACACACTACTTGGAAAAACTGGGACCAGATTTCCTGGCAATTACTTTAACATGTTGCTCTCCAGAGCTCTTAACAGTGTTGACTTATATGGGGGAAACAGTACAAGAGGGGAAAAAAATAGCGGCCCTTTCCCCTCAGTACCAAATCCCTGACCCATATCAGGCCTCCCCACAGCTGCTTTTCACTGCTAAAAGATGAGAGGTCTGTTTCTTAATCCAAGATGGTAGCCTCCTTAGAGAGGGCATCTTGTTGTTTATTTTTTAAAAGTTCTCATTCTTATTGCCTTAGCATACTAACCTCCTTACCGGCAGTAAGGCTGATATCACTTGTGGCATCATGCTGCAAAGTCTAAAAATGAAGTTGGAAACACTACAGATTTCATTTTTTTCCTATCAGTTTAACTGTTGTGATTTTGAAACAACTCCTGGAACCTGCAGTTTGTCAAGGTTGTAGATATTTCTGACAAATCCCCAGCCCCTCACATAACTATATTCAATTCTTTCATCTCAAAGTATCCTGGGGAAAATATATGTATGTATGTGTGTGTGTGTGTGTGTGTGTGTGTGTGTGTGTGTGTGTATCTCTCCTTATATATAATTGATTAAGAGAGTGGAGAAAAAATGTGCACCGTCAGCCATTGGCCCGCCAGCTGCCGCTCAAGGCTA